TGCTCAAAGGTTATCGGCCACATCAGGTAGCTAACTGGCGACTGTGTGAGAAAATGCTGCTTCGATCTCCAGAGACCAGTCAGCTTGTGGGAGCTGTTGGGCATTCGGTGTCACTGAGGCCTTTAATGACCGCCTATGTATCAAGTCGGATGGGGCGTTCACGGAGCTCCTATCGGCCGGCGAGATGAATGCTTGTACGCTGTGAGTCGAGGATGCAAGCCTTAGCCTGGGAGCTTTCCAATCGGTACTTACTGCCCAGGTTCTTCGGATGCGGTGGTGGAGATCCTTACTCAGCCTGGTCTTGGGTGCACGATAAAGGGATCGCAACTGGTGAGGGGAGTCGACCGAAACGAGTCTCGGAATCCGAGGCGAGTTTGCTATGACTTATCCTCGACAACTCGATAGCCATTCATGTCTACAGAATAAATACAGGGGAGACCCACACTGTAGTCCACAGTGTAGGTCTCCCCCGTCTACAGTCTGTAGACGCTGGGAAATATGATGATAATCCCGGCACGGATCGCTGTCGTTCTCAGCGATGAGCCGGCGACGATGACTCCTGTTGTAGCATCGTCTGGGACGACTTATCCCAGTACACTGGGCTGATTCATGGAAAATGGATCTCCGATATTCACATATGCTGCAAAATCTTAGAGTGTGAAAGAAAATTTCTTTCGCTGCTCAGGTGGAGATTACGTTGCGAAAGATGATATGACCAAAGACGATGGGTGCTGGCCGTATGATTTCCCCCCATGCGCTCATCATATCAATGATACCAAGTACCCCAAATGCCCGAAGGTAAGCTGTAGCGGCGAGTCGCCGCCGGCGACCGCTGAGGCAGTACCTGTCATTGCCTATCAGGGCTTATACCCGACTCCCAACTGTGTCGAACAATGTCACAACCCGAAGTATACGACCACTTTGAGAGAGTAAAGGAAGGCTAAGCTAAGTCAAATTTATCGAGTTTATCATTCTCAGTGATCGTCATTTCATGTTGGAATCCTCTCCTTATCACTACTCTGTGAACGATGCTAAGAATGCTATCAGGACCGATGGCCCAGTGGGACCGATCCACTTCTGTGATCCCAACATTAACTTTGATCAGGTTTCGGCTTCTTTCACTGTTTACGAAGATTTCCTAGCCTACAGGTCTGGTGTATACAAGCATACTTCTGGTTCATATCTCGGTGGACATGCTGTGAAGATAATTGGTTGGGGTGAGAAGAGTGGACAAGCTTACTGGCTTGCCGTGAACTCCTGGAATGAAGACTGGGGTGACCACGGCCTTTTCAGATAGCCCTCGGAAACTGTGGAATAGATGATGACCTGCTTGGTGGTA